GAATAAAAGTTTTGAGTGCACGGTTTTCTTTGAACCCTGCTTTCAGAAAAAAGAACAAAAAAATTGGACCGGTTCTGTGCCCACTCTGAATTCCAGTCGGAGGACCTGGGCTGATCCAGCCTGGGTACATCCGGGCTGTTCCAACCCGCCAGTTGTTGCCGGCCCGGCGCTGGTTCGCAAACAAACGATGTTCAATTTTTATTTTCAGTATTTCGGAAGTGTTTAATTTAATTAATGTGCAGATGTCCCCACGAGTCACACGAGTCGCACTAGGAGCAGGCACCCCTGATCTTCCCATGAAAGATATTAGAAAAATGATAAAAAATCTGGAAAAAAAATGGATCATGGATGGCAAATTTGGCAGAAACAAATGGTGATATTTTTCGACACCAAAAGTATGCATATTTTTTATTAACTTTGCTCTCTGCTGCTACCGGCAGGGCCGGAACTTTTTGGGTTCCGTCCTGCAGCCTTCGAAAAATGCACCGATTTGGTAGCTTCAATTCTTTCGGGGCAGTGGGGGTTAAATGGCAGATGCACTGTTAGGTACTTGTCAATAGGATTTGCCTGCTTCTCAAAAAAAGAAGTTTTTATGGGATCCTTCTCAACTAAAATCTTAACTTTTTTCGTCCTTCCGGACATCCGTTTAAATTTTGGAACGATACAGAGAAAGAAGATTAGCATGGCCCCTGCGGATGGCACACATAAATTGAGAAACGGTCCAAATATAATTAAAAAAAAGAAAAAAAAAGGAAAAGGAAAAGAAAAAGAAAAAGAAAATCTTAACTTCTTGTTCCGGTCGACGAATAGTCATCAATAGAGGATTGAAATCAAGGCAGAGTCACCCTCAGATACCTATAAAGTAAAGATGGATTGAATTCCCTACAAAAGCAATACAAGGGAACTTAACCAACAGTTCATTCGAAGCTAAATTGACGAACCCGAAAGTGCATTTTTTGCCGAGCCTAATAATCTGCAGTGCAGGCATTTGAAAAAAATGAGGCTCCCACTGAACCTCTACCGCGGCTCTGCACTGTAGATTTTGCCCCGGTACTTGGAAAAATGAGCGAAGTCCACAGTGCCGCGGCTCTGCACTGTAGATTTTGCCCCGGTACTTGGAAAAATGAGTGAAGTCCACAGTGCAGGGGCCGATGGACTGGCGGTTTCACCTTCACCTCCTACACCTGTACTACTGTCTTCACCCGAATACAACATACGGTCGTTGTATTCGGGTGAACACAGTAGCAGTGCCAAACACACATGACAAGCCTGACAACAGCTCCTCTAGGTGCTCACATCATTGGTAAGGTATGCTAGAAAAAATTGAAAATTAGAATACAGTTCAATACACAATGGGCTACAAGGCCACAACCCCAATGCAAATCTTCAGATATTTGCTGACACAAAGTACAAGCGTGTAATGTCCATTGTCTTGAAAAGCACAAGAACACGGCATCATCACAGCATTTCCATGACCTTTGACTCTTGACCAGTGAAACCTGCGCCGGGGACAATAATGAGAGAAAGGGCGGGAGGGAGTCTCATAGGGAACCTACATAGATCACCTGGATAATCAAATGGCCAACTACTGAAGGGACTGTCATATCCAGCCTCTACAACCTGGACTTTATTATTACAAGTCAGACGCCGCGGGCCAGAGGCGGGGATGAGATGAAATGCGGAGGAGGGCCATGTCACGGGGCGGGTGCCCCACATGCACAAAAGACAAAAGAGAAATCGGTCGTGTATCTTCCCATGTTCTAGTGGAGGATTCATTCTCTCATGTTAAACATGGGGGAACATGGCTTTTGTGCATGTGGAGAGTCGTGGAGAAAAAGACCCTGGCCCCGCTAATGGCCAAGAAAACCATAAAAAAAAGAGAAACGAATCCTGCTCTAGAACATGGAAAAGATACACTGATTCCTTCCCCCCCCACCCCCCCCCCAAAAAAAAAAGATACACTGTCGAACTTCTTTTTGTCTTTTGTGCATCTGAAGGGTCGTGGGGCAAGGTAGAAAAAAATAAAAATAAAAAAATTTAAAAAAACGACATGCAAAGGCCCTCGCCCCGCTACTGGCCAAGAAAACCACGAAAAAAGAGGCACGAATCCTCTAGAACATGGAAAGATACACCGCCAAACGTTTTTCTGTCTTTCGTGCATGTGGAGGGTCGTGGAGCAAGGAAGAAAAAGACCAAAAAAAAGAAACGACATGTTTTTTGTCTTTTGTGCATGCAGAGACTAGCGGGTGACGCTTCGAACGACCACTTCCCCAAAACAAAAAGAAACGACGTGTAAAGGCCCTGGGGCCTCGTCCCACTATGTCCGATTTACGCTTGTGCTCCGCGTTTTCAACCACGTGCGGCCGTCTGTGACATGCGTGAGTCGTTGATCATTTCGTGTATCCACTGCTAGTGTGGATTGTCTTTGTTTTCGTGGATGCAGCTTCCTGTCGGCCAGTAGAATTTTTTTCTTAATCATTTGTTGGCCATTTAGTTGGCCACTTTGCGTTGGCGCGAAGCTTCAAAACTACGGTTTTTTTAGGGGGGGGGTGAAGCTTCGCGCCTTGCTATTTTTTTTTGCAGAATATTGAAATTTCCGTGGAAGACTGCGAACAGGCCGGCAGGAAGGTCGCATGCAGATGTACCGGGTTGGTGGAAGTGTGGATGCATAGCGTTGGCCTTGTTTTCTTTGCATTTCTGAAAAAAAAAAAAAGGATTCTTTATATGTTTTTTTAAAAAGAAACGGCCGCCACATACCGATTTACACGATGCTAGTGGGTTGAGGCCCCTGGCCCCGCTACTGGCCAAGAAAACCACGAAAAAATAGGCACGAATCCTACTCTAGAACATGGAAAGATACACTCCCAAACGTTTTTTCGTCTTTTGTGCATGTGGAGGGATGTGGAGCAAGGTGGAGAGAGACCAAAAGAAAGAAACGACATGTTTTGTGTCTTTTGTGCATGAGCAGAGTAGCGGGTGAGGTTCCGAACGACCGCTTCCAACATGCACAAACCAAGAAAAAGACAAAAAAAAAACACAGAGCTGCAAGGCTTCACAGTGTATCCGTGCCTTGCTATGTATTTGTATTCGAATGTGAGCAAAAGCAAGACGTGCACGTAGGAGTTTCTGTTGGGCCCGCGCCCCCTGTCCCGTGCCTTTTCCCAAGAGTGGAAGCCCGGCCATGCTATGTATTAGTGAGAGTATAGGAAAAAAAAGAAAAAGAAGAAGAAGAAGAAAAACAGATGACATGTGGAGCAGCAGCTGTATACTTGAATGGAGTTAATAGCATCCTTGCAACCACACGGACTGCATGACCGTGCGGTCCCGCGCACTGCACACTGTGTGGGAACTTCCCGCGCACTGCACAGAGCCGGACCGCACCCCACAGGGGGTCGAGCGGGAGCTGCATACTCACATGGAGGTTCAAGTGTGCTAGCAGGAGCTGTATACTCTAAAATGACGAGGAAACATTTCAAGACTTTTACACAAACAAGCATGTAGACACAAGGGCAGAGCAACAAAACCTGCATTCCAACATGTACCCACTACTGTGTTCATCCGAACACAACGTACAGTCATTACAGCTCTATTCGGGGCCAAGTTTGAGTGTAGATACAGCAACAATGAAAGTTCGTTGTATTGGGGTGAACACCGTAGCCATTCCAATTTCCAACCCCAAAACGACTAATGCAGTACATACACACGCACCTTCACCAGTACCAGAAACCCCTGAGAAGACGCCGAACCTGGGTCAACACTGACAATCACACTCATACGCTTCAGATGAGAAGCAAAATGGAACCGATGCAATATCTGGACAGACTTCCGTGGCTGCCTGCAAGAAACCGGCACAGTACACCCGATCATAAATAACTTCTATTCGAGAGGAAGGTGGAATCACACACGTATTCCATCACAATAGAACATAACAAAGTTAACAAACTGGATTAGCGCGAAAATCAGTCAAAAATGGCGTCCAACAGCATGAACCGCCAAGATAAACTCCCACACTGCATGAGCAATAAGAACTGCTACCTACTGCTTTCCTCTGAGTTGGAGAAAAGCTGGCTCATTACATTTCCGTCTAGAAATTGTTCTAGGTGTGGATATTATGATGCAACTACATTCTAGTCCAGGGAAGACTCCAGGGCGAGTGACCATGGTTAAGGCTCAACACTTTGATTCCTTGGTGCACGGAATAAGAAAAAGAAAATGAGACAGGCTGGATGAGTGTGCAAGTGCAAAACACATGCATCCACCTTCCTGAGTACCGGACTCGTAAGCGAAGCTGCTCCCCAGGAAAGCCAAGACTGGCACGGACACCAGGAAATCCGGAGTACCAGATAACGTTCAAGTCCTGCTTGCAACTCCTGTGTTGTGTCACACACAGACACACACACACACAGAGAGAGAGAGAGAGAGAGAGAGAGAGAGAGAGAGAGAGAGAGAGAGAGAGAGAGAGAGAGAGAGAGAGAGNAGAGAGAGAGAGAGAGAGAGAGAGAGAGAGAGAGAGAGAGAGAGAGAGAGAGAGAGAGAGAGAGAGAGAGAGAGAGCTAAGCTTGAGACGCTGCAAGGGGAGAGACAGGAGACGAACCACCTTCACATTTCCATCTTCCCACAAATAGATCACATATTTGCTATAGGTGTAGTTCCTCTGTGAACAATGATAGTAGTGCCTCCAGGACTGAAAATACAGCAAATCTGCAAACACTCAGGATAGTTCATGCTTCACACAAAACCAATGAAACCAGGAATGGCAAAAATGCACAAGCAGACGCATGTCATTGATTCACATAATTCTGCCACTCTCCTTGCCAAAAGGCGCATTCCGTGGGCCAAAGACCGCAAACCAGTATGTAGCAGCAACTTGAGACGGCGGACATCCAAGATAGCAAACAAGTATTCAGCAGCCTGCTTGATTGAGGCAGAGGGCACGATCAAAACAGAACTTCATTCATGGCGAGTCACTAAATGTGAAGTGCTGCAGCGACGACAGCATGGATCGCTAACTCGTACAGGGTAGCTGTGAGTGCTGCGTGTGACAGACGGTCAATGTGACAGATCGCGCGATGGGACTTAGTTGCAATTCACAACTTGACAATGCCTAACCAGCATCGCAAACTACAGTCCGCACAAAAGTAAAGACCCCATGAAATAGAACTCACCCCTTGGGGAAAGCTCTTTCATCAGATGTGTAGCACCATTGTGCTCCCTTTATTGCTGCCTTCTCCAACGGATCGCCAACCTGGAAACAACGAGAAAGAAACCACCCAGCCAGAACCTTCCTGTTAATAACTCTCATAGCAATCATTGAGCCACAACGGCAGTGTCGCATACCCCGACGGTTGGCGGCCCTCCCTTGACTGGTCGGCACCTACTGGTCGGGGGTCGTCGGCACCCTGCAAAAAAAAAAAGAAAAAAAAAAAGGCCCAGAACCCCTTATAACCTCACCAACACCCCCATACACCCACCAAACACCCCAAACCGCCCCCCAACACCCTCTACCCCCCCAAATACCCCCAATAGTCTTCACGGGTTTGTGACAGCCCATTCGTAAGCTGAACTACAAGCCCATAGCATCAAGCTACGAAATTGACCGGGCGCATCAGACGTTCACCATTCAGAAATTCTTCACCGGGAATGAAATCATTTGACTGCACGGTTCCAGAGGTAGAGAGGCTGACCAGTTTGTTGTCGACAAACACTAGAGAGTGGCAAGCTGCCAAAGCGGACGCTGCCATCTCCGGCAGCTTCTTAGACTCTGTTATCAGCTCCTTAGTTTCAACTTCAACCACGCCTCGAAATTCCTGGCCTCCCCCGAAAAATCACGACAATGCCCAAACCACCAACAATACAGGTGTCAGGAAAAAAAAACTTCATCAGAGAAAAAAAAAAACACCACTAGGATCCGATAGCAGTCAGAGGACGCTGCTCTCACTATCATCACAGCGTTGCAGCTGTTTTGTACATTTACAAATCTCTTGGTGTGTTTCGTTCATCATTACTGCCGCATTCTGCCATAACATACAAGCTCTCTATGAATGCTTCCTCCCAACCCTCTTCTCTTAAACTCCTCATCACGAGGAATCGCGGGCAGGGATATTCATATTTGAAAGTGAACAAAACTAATTCCACAAACTTAAGAAGTCAAATGAATATAGGCCTCTTTTCCACCTAAGCGGACAGCATCAGGTGGGAGAACACGTTCGCACCAAGATATTTACAGTGTGCGTTTCAATCTTGTATCACATAATCACACTGTAAATCCATTCGATATCCTCTCATTCCACAAATGGGAATTAGCTCCACAAGACTGCCTGCAGCGTCCGTCATATGGCGCAGAAGAAATTTCTGTCTACCAGAACACTCCAGAGCTTCCTGACATTTCAAAATCTGCATTGCCTAGCACATCAGCTGCTGTGAGTCGCCAACTTACCAAGCAGCACGAGATCTCCCACCAAAACATATCTTAAGTTTTCGACCGTCCAATCAGACAATTGCTCGGTTCCTTGCGCCTTGGCCTACTTTTTCAGTACTATACCAGGCTGGGTTGGCCCGACCTTTGTCCCACCTTCGGACCAGTTCGAACAGCACCTCACCAACCTAAACTGGAGCAGGAAAACCCCGCAGCTTCTGCACTTGATAGCAGGTCAAGCTCCTACCAAGTTCCCCCGAACACAAACACACGCAGATCATGAGCGTATACAAGCTAGCTTTTTTCGGTCCGATACAATCATGCTGAGGGCGAGCAGTGTTGGCGGGAAGATGGTAGTCCTCTATCGTGTCCAACCATAGCAAGAGTTGCCAGTCGCCGGCCTCTGCTTACCACTTGCCCAGATTTTATGCGAATGGTGGATCCTTACACAGCCTTTAGGCTGGATATATCGGTATTATATTCTTTGATTCCTTCCAGATGTAGGTCCCAAGCAAATGTGCAAAAGAGTTCAAGCCCACTATAATACCAGCCTCAGGCTAGAGTTTTAGTTTAGCTAACCACCATCCCAGCCTTCACAGCTGAAAGGGAGCTTGCAAACTCCCTCCTTTACAGTGTGTTTTTTTGTTTTTTTTGTTTTTTTTTTTTTGGGGGGGGGGGGGGGGGTTTGGGGGGGGGGGGGGGGAAGCAGCAACTGATCATGCAAACCCAGAAACACTGATTACTGTGTTGAAGTGTCATGTGAATCTGACACCTTGACACTGCTGGACCCGATCTCCGGCGGGTTGCTGCTGTCCACCAATAGACCGGAGCTACCAGCAACAGGTGCTGCTAGAGGGGGATGCTCATATCAACCCCTCTAGCACACTGGCAAAAAAAAAGAAGAAAAACTGTGTTGAGGTGTCAGCCATAACCAAAAAGTGGTGGTTAACCACGTTGAAATGACCCAAGTACTCGTGAAGTTCAACTTTGCGTACATCAATGAACATTAACATGAGAGTTCACACATGAGAAGCCAAATCGAGATACAATCAACACTTGAAGATGTCGTCTCCAACATTATTATCAATAGACAAGAATGTTTGCCTCCAGCCCGCACACACATGCGCAACGGGTCGCAACCAGATAGCGGCTATGGCTTCCCCGCCGCCGTACCCCCCCCCCCCCCCCCCCCCCTCTCTCTCTCTCTCTCTCTCTCTCTCTCTCTCTCTCTCTCTCTCTCTCTCTCTCTCTCTCTCTACCCTGGATCGCTACCCTGGATACACCCACTCAGGTTGCTCACACCTCGGCGGCTATGGCCGCCGTCCTCCTGCTCTACGTCTAGCTATGGAGTATCTCTCAAGTGCCCTCTTCTTCTTCACGTGCACAGTGCCTAAGTTGCCTTAATGCACAAGCAGCAGCAGCGCTTCCGCATCTCGCAACTGAACAAGTGATGAGCCACTGCACTGTAGCAGCTAAATATAGGACTTGGCTTCGCTGGGCTTGGCTTGGCTTGGCCTGCTTCAGACCGGTACTGGTCGGCGGCAGTCTGTCTGCTGCAAACATTTTGTCGGTCCAGTAGCTTCCGGATTTTCCTGGGACATGCTGCAAAATTGGACTTGGGACTGTCGGACTGGACTGGACGCTTCTGGACTTTTCTTGTCGGGTACCGAACAGACTCCTACCGACCTACGACGCTTCGATACCGACAGCTACCAACCTACGACGCTTCGGCCTCTAGACCCTTCGGCCTACCCTACAGGACGGCCCTGGGAGGTGGGACTTGTCGGGACCTTGGGACCGGGACTGGGTGTCTGCAGCGTGAATCCTTTCAGCGTACGGCCTGGGACTGGAACTGGGACTTGGACCAGGGCTGCAGGAGTGAAATCCTTTCAGATTTCAGAACTGTTCTCTTAAAACACCACTACCTTAACCCATGTCGGCCTCGGGTGGGCCTCCGATCTTTTAGGAGGCCGAAACGAAGCGATGGCCGCCAATGAGATTTATCAAACAGGCCCTGCCCCCGATTTTTTGGGAGTACCGGAATACTGCCAGTTTTCCCATTTTCCCAACAGTGGCCGAGGTAGTGGAGGTTTCAGGTCTTTTTTCTTTCTTTTTTTTTCCATTTCTCAATTTATGTGTGTCAACGTTGCACAGGGGCCATGCTAATCTTCTCTTTACCGTTCCAATTTCAACAGATGTCCCGGAGGACAATTGGATGTCCTAAAGGACGTCGTCTTAAGGTCCTCCTTTCATCCCATTTAAAAACTCGGACAATTTCTCGATTTGCATGTGGCATCCTTGCACAGGGGCGACGCTAATCTTCTCTGTATCGTTCCAATTTCAACGGATGTTCCGAAAGGCTGTTGTCTTAAAGCACCAGTACACCACATATCGGCCCGTGGATGTCAGCATGAAACCCGCACCACTTCGGAGGCCGCCGATTTTTTTTTTTTCAACGGTGGGCCTGGCCGCGCTGGGTCTCCGAGTTTTGCTTGTGGCGACAAAAACTTTCTGCAAGGCGGGGGCCATGTACTAGCGGTTTAAGGTCTGGTCTTTCAGCTTAACACATTCCAGTCACTATTGCACCATACTCTGGTGACATATACTGCCCTTTCAGCCTGTTGCAACCCCAAAATGACCCTTATAAATCCAACCACATGCCTAGGCAGTTCCCTACCTGCAGGGACATTTAATTGATCTCTACCACCAGACGCCGCATCCTGACAACCTTGACCTTCAGCTGCGCTGACCCATCATCGACCACAAAAACAACACTGACCTGCAAACATGTTTCCCACAAAATTCCACCTACCTCATTGTTCGCGTGTGGACAGGTAAATTTTTGGACACGAGTATAAAACATAACTGCAAAGACTGAAACCTTTTCTCAAAGTTCTTTCAGGTTTTTCAGAACTTTTCTCCTGTTCCTTTAATTACACCCCAGGGTATACCTAGGGTAGGGTAACCTAGGGTATACCTAGGTAGGTGTACCCTAGGTTATACCCAGGGTAGGGTAACCTAGGGTATACGCTATTCTGGGTAGACCTAGGGTATACCCCTCACCTTATTGTATAGCACATCCTCTCCCCACATCCTGCTTAGCCCACCGTCTCTTCCCACCCCGCTAGCAAACCTTCGTCAACACCAATCGCAAACCATCCAGGCCAAAAGCGTGCACAGAAAGCATCCACATAGTATCCCCCTCATCTTATTGTATATCACATCCTCTTCCACATCCTGCTTACCCCACCGTCTCTTCCCAACCCGCTAGCAAACCTTCGTCAACATCAATCGCAAACCATCGAGGCCAAACGCGTGCAGACAAAGTATTCGCATGGTGGTGGTGATTGCAGGCAACGCAAATTGAAGTCAAAGTTCAACCGTAGTGCTCTTGACTCTTATTTCAATTTGGCAAATTTTGGCAAAGATCCAACAAGTTGGTATAACTACTATAACAGCAAAACACGCTGCACAACGCATGGAGGAAAAGAGTTACAAGGGAAGTGGATAGATTTAAGTCCAAGGAACCTACAAGACAACATGATAACCACGATGTGGAATCGTGTTTCACAATACCACAATGCATTTTCAGTAAACGAGGAGAAACACGCACCATGTCATCAGTTGTGAGTGTCCCTGTTTTGTCAAAGCAGCAGACATCCACCTGCAACACAGAGACCAGTGACCGAAACATTGTTTTAACTTTGGGAGTATTTGCTCAACACGAGAGCTACGAAGCCAATGTGTACAAACCTGCCCATCACCTCCTCCTCCCAAAAACATCAGGTTGTTACGACTGCATCTGGCCAGGAACAAAGCTAATATACGTTCAATATGACAGGGCATCACCTTCGGGACAAAGAAAGTAGCCTCTTTGACAAAGTGGCTTCAGGTATAGGTAACACGAGACAGAGAAACAGAGGACCCTTCATTTTAAAAAAAAAGAAAAAAAAAGGCATGGTCTCGAAATACCATCATCGAACTAACCATCCCTACGTGATTCAGAATTGTAGTATTTCACTCATCTGCTTTCAGTGGAGTTTGAATGCGGGTATGCATTTCAACGATCCAGGGGTGTACGAACTGAGCTAGGCCAGTTGGTGCAGAGGACCCTTATGTGTGAGGATTGAGCGAGGAAAGCATTACCAAAACCAAGCGAGCATCTCGAAGACACAAAAGGAGGCAAGCCTGCTGAAAGATCCCCGAAGGAATAGGAGCGAGAGAGAGGGAGAGGACAGCCCAGGAGAGAGGGAGTGGGGGCAGCAGAGGAGGAAAAAGGCTTAATCCTATGTAAGGGAAGGGCTCCTGAAACCCAGCTTGGAAAAGAGAAAGTGCACCTGCTGCGTCACCTTCAAACAAAAAATGCAGAGACAGAGAAACAGAGGACCCTTTATGTGTGAGGATTGAGCGAGGAAAGCATTTCCAAAACCAAGCGAGCATCTCGAAGACACAAAAAAAGCCAAACCTGCTGAAAGATCCCCAACAGAATAGGAGCGTGAGAAAGAGTGCAGAGCCCAGGAGAGAGGGAGTGTGGCAGTGGAGGAGGAAAATGCATTAATCCCACGTAAGGACAGCGCTTCTAAAACTCAGCTTGGAAAAGAGAAACTGCAACTACTGTGCTACCTTCAGTCGAAAAATGCAGATCACAGAGATCCGATGGTGATGAAGACTGCAGCATTACATGGTGGTCATGCCGGTAATCACTATCACATAATAACATGGGAAAGACAGGAAACAAGCGACAGAAAGAACAAACCTTTCCTCCAAAGGGAATCCTGAACGGTTCAGTGCAGTATATTCCCTTGCGTGCAAGTGCAATCAGTGACGTGTTGACAGCTATGGAGAGCTCCATTGGCAATTCAGGCGGAATGACCGACGTGATAATGAGCGAGCAATTCAAAAGGAGCTTGTAGCGGCTGCGATTTGGGTCCTCCAGCCCCTGTCTTGCAGAAATCACAAATCCACACACAAAACACACCCAAAATTAGCACCTGTGTGTCATTAACCACTCTAGCCAGGGCCCAAATCACTGGAATCTTCATGTGAATGCATTAAGGACAAAAAAACAAACCAAGAAGGCAAACGCACAACAACGAAGACCAAACTTAATTCTATCGGTCCTCTAGCCCCTGTCTTGCAGATTAAGAAAAAAAAAAGAAAAAAAGAAGCCCTCCCAGAAGGAAAGATTTTTAGCACCCATGTTACTAACAGCTCAACCCAGTCCGAATTTGAAGAATTCCTAATGTGAATGCAAAGCAGATAAAAACAGCCAAAGAAAGCAAAACCACAATCCTTCCACAGCCAATTATTTCATTAACACAAAATCACAATATTTACAATAAACAATTTGAGTCTATTTACAATACTTGTTCTAAACATATTTTGTATGGTATAAACATCCAGATCATATTATAGATATCCAATATATGATAATTATCATTATAATAAT